CGAACGAGCAATACCTGCCCCTGGTGCCATCGATAGCTCTTCGTGACAGGAAACTTCTCTTTGGAATTTCATGTTCAAGACTGCCGTGAACGTTGCACAAGATCAGCGTCACGAGACCTGCGCAAAAAGAAACGTCCACGTTTGAAGATGTTTCACAGACAAATGTTTAAGAAAACAACTAAACAGATGCGAAATTTCAATATGGAAAACTACGCATAGAGGGTTTCTTATTTGCTTTATAAGAGAATTGTACGAGCGTAAATTTTGAACGTAGCTTGAATAATCATTACAGTAATATAATAACAATAATTTTATACCTAGAAAATATTTTTTAATGCACGAGGATCGTTGAACATTTTTATATCCTCGGTTTTCAAAGTGATCATTTTCTACAATCACTTGTTATACGATAAATATCAATTAAATGATATTACATGATTACGATGACTATTCATGCTTTATACTAATTTTTTACTAATATCTTGTAACTTCCAAATTGCTTTCAAATTTGATGAATATAATTATGACAGTCCGAAAAGTGTTCATAAAATTTCAAAATATTTTGTATTCATAAGTGTTCGAATTCTTTCTCCAGAGAAAGATATTGATATCTTTCTAACTTCAAAAAATTCGTCCCTCAAAAATGTAATTTCCAATTTTTTTCAAACTTTCATCTTGGACTTTGCGACATTATTAATCTTGTTATTCGAATACTCAATTTTCAAACGTTCAAAAAAATTTTTCCACCATCTCTGAGGCTGTAGGCTCTCGGTATATATCTCTTTGTATTTTCGACTTTTACAAACGAAACGGATGACGTATGCGCTTATCATCTCCCGATTCGCGAATTCCACTTTCTACTTCGTATTACATATGCGTACAACGTTCCAGCATTCCAACACCGGATCCTCTGCGAGTAAACATCGTCCTTTTACAGTCTGCCCTAATCGAAAAATCCATTTACACCGCGTCGCTTCTGAGAGTTATTAATTCAATTAAATAATAAATAATTAGATAGTAATATCATTACCTTGTCGTGAAAAATTACCATCTCATACATCTATTAATTTATCATTCTGTCAATTTATAATAATAATAATAATTAATTTAATTCAAACTATCAATTCAGGTGTCCAATCAAATACCAAAAATAATAAATACTATTATGTTGCCATAAAAAGTTACCATTCTATGCATTCATTAATTCGTCATTTTAGTAATTTATTATTGAATGTTCTGATTAATTGCACTATCAATGTTGCACTATTAATTTGTCATCTTAGTAATTGATTATTAGACATTCTGATTAGTTATTCAATCAAATTTTGTGGTGTTAATTCGATCGAAGTAGAATATTCGATAAAAAAGACACTGAAAGTAACATCAGTCTATCAGCAACATCAAATTAACATTCAACCTCGTAAAACAATGAGGCGAAGTGAAACAATAGTCTCACGACCTGGTTACAGACAAGTTCCACCAAGTTTGAGTATAAACG